CACACTTAACCACCAAGCCACAGGGCCGGCCCTACACTCTGATCTAGATCCATCAGATCGGGTCTGATGGATTTTCCATTCTAATCTGCTCTGAAACAACAAGGAGAACATGATTGTTCAGTATGGATCACCCTATAATTCTTTAGTCACCTTCTTAATCACTGACTGACTCTCTTCCAGGTTAGGGAAACTAAGCTTTAGAATTGTACAATGTGATAATTTAAAAACACCTTTGAAATTATATACAGTTCCATGTTTCCCAAAGATGTCAGAAGAAGTATGCAGAAGCAGAATGGACTGTAGAGCCTGGACTGGTTCTAGCAGATACAAAGCCCTTTTTACCTCATTGAATCTAAAGACCATTAGGTGAAGTGAGTTTGAAGACTGATATTGCACCCCTATAATTAACCTTGTTCAGTATATAAGCACCTTCTAATAAGTAGGCTCCGATGTAATTCTTGGATATATCTAAAGTTGCCATAGGATTTGAAGATGGAGGTTTCATTATATTCACTAATTCAGAGCCCACTGCACATTAGGTGTTGGGGTACAGGAATAAAATCTCTGAACTGCTGTATTTAAGAGAAGGTAGGTAGTGAATTCTTATCACTAGAGGTATAAATATAAGAAAGGTCACTGCCATATATTGAGAATTTACTATGTGCCAATCGGATTCTAATTAATTCACTTAATCCTTACAGTAAATTTATGAATTGAGTTGGTATAATCATCAACCCCATGTAGGAGAAAAGAATAAAGAAGCATGGACAGGTCAAGTGACTTATACAGGTTTACACAACTAGTAAGTGGCAAAGCCAGAATTTAGATGTAGGAAGGCTACTCCAGGGTCTACTTCCTTAGCACTATGCAACACCAGCACTCCAGATTAATGTGTATGTCTTCCATGTATTCAAGATAGAACCGTGGTTATATTACATTTTTAATCACTCCCGTCCCCTATATCGTATAGCACAAAGTCCAGCATCTTTCTCTTGGAGAATCCTCCTTCCCAAAATCTGTTTAAATCCCTAGGTGGGAAGAGAATATCTCTTCCTTCCAAATATAAGCAGGATATAGGACTACCAATGCTTCTCACAGCCACTTAAAGTTGTTAATTAACGTGGCACCTGAGATGGAAAATACAAATGATCAACTCTATTCTGTGTCTGGCTGTCACAATCCCCAGCAGACACCGCCCTGGTGCTCTTGAAGCAGAGTGATGAGACTCCTTCAGTGACAAACTTAGCCACAAGTGTGCTACTTTGGACCACCCAGAGGTAAAGGGCTGTGCTCCCCTTCTCTCTTATGCATCTGTCTTAAGCTGCTATCATCAACTTTAACCTGTCTGTCTTCAGAAAGAACTTAATTCAAGAGTCTCATTACCCTGGACCTTGGCCAAGAAGCAAGAGGGAGACTTTGGTGGGAGACAGGATTTGCAGAAGCAGCCTTGGTTACTGCATGCCTCGGAAAAGGGGAGCAGCTTCCACACTAAGCCTGATGTTGGATGTTCAAGATTCATAACGGCCCATTAACTCAAGCCAACTATTGCTTCTGGTTCTCAGTAAAATGAGCAGCAATCTCTTCTAATGCTTGGCAATAGCCTGGCTACGCTGGAGTTGCCTAGTGAAGCAGTGCATTCAGTAAGTCACTCTTCCAGCGTGAGCTTTTTCAGAGGGTGTTCACAAAGGTAATTTTGATCAACTTGAAGCATCAACCTGGAGGTAGGAGTGAATTCTCTATAACAGAGTTAGTGCTGGTTCCCAAGACGGGCACAGGATGAGGTAGGTAAGAAGATTATTTGTAATTAAGCAGGTCTCCTTTAAGCCACTAATAATTCTTTCTGCTTTACAGGATGTCTTCAGAGCCATGCACCCAAACCTTGACATTGTGCAATTGTACCTTAAGCCACTGCTCATCGGAGAGCTTGCCCCAGGAGAGCCCAGCCAGGAGAGAAACAAAAATGTAAGTGAGGTCTAAGAACACAAGAGCATGTGTAGCCTATAATGTTTTTCCTATGATTGCTTGTACTTATAGGTTGATGTCTATATCTATGTTCCCTGTGAAACTAAGCCCATGAGAGCAAAGAATAGGTCTATTTTGCTTATGTCTGTGTCCTCAGGATCTACCTGCACAAGATCAGACATGCATTAAGAACTCTATAAATAGCTGTTGAATGAAAGATGTGAATATCTCAACTACAGCCCTCTATACATTTGGGAAAATTATAATTCAGGGAGAATAAATTACTTTCTGCAAGTCCCAAAGCTATTGTGTCAAAGTCCTGGAATTCCAAGTCACGTATTTGTGGCCCAATTCCTTAAGTATTCTCAGGGCAGGGTGCCACTCTTTCTTTCTCTAACAATTTAGATACCTGAAATACTGTCTCCTGAAGGATAGGGTCTATAAAAGACTAAAAATTCACCAGGATAGTTTTACATTAAGTTTAAAGGGATTTCAACTACTATTGAACATTTCATTGTTTGCCATGTATTTTTTTTAAACAGGTTACATTTGTACAATTCTTTTGAAATGATTTTTACGAACTGCTGATTCATATATCACTGAGAGGCAGATAGAATCAAGATAATATTTCTGCTTTAAGAAATGAGGAAACATACTCACAGGACAGGAGGAATCTGAGGCCACAGCACTGGTTACGTGCAGAACTGAGATCAACACTCAGGCTTGCTCCGTAGGTCCACATGCATCGTGTGCATCCCGCAGTGTTGTGTGTCAGGAAGCACAGCTCTGTATTTGAAAGAATGGGATCTTGGGTTGACAGTCTAGACTCACAACCCAGCCCTGCCACAAGTTGTATGAGTTTAAGCCAGTTACCAAACCTTTCTGTGGTTCAGTTTCTCTCTGTATAATAGAGCAAGAACAATAGCATCAACCTCATAAGAATGATTGTGAGATTATTGAAAGAGTTAAAGACATTTCAAGCATAGTATCTGGAACAGAGGAAATGCTAAATAAATTTTAGGTACTGTCAATAATGTGAACTCCATGATCACACTAGTAATATGTCCCCATCATTTAGGCCAGGAAACTCCAGATTTAAAAGGGAAGATGATGCAATGCGTAATTATTTTTCCTAAAAATTTACTCTAAGGAAAAGTAAATCCCACAAAGACTGAGAGTTAAGAGATAATCATTCATTGTCAAAATGAGTGTTGTTTTCTGGCTGTTAAAGTCTTCCATAAATTTTCTTTAGTATATCTGTATGTGTGTATATATATATATGTATATATATGTATACATATATACCTTTAAATATGTATACATATATATGTGTATATATGTATATACTCTATATATATAGATACATATACAATATACATATCTACATTGGATATAGTTACATATACTACATATATATTGATACTTTATATATAGATACATATAAATAC